TAATAATAATAAATACTCTTAACATTTTGCAAACATAAAACTTATAATTTTATTCTTGTTAACTAAATAAACTCTCTGATAAATAGCGTGTCAAGTTGATTGGATTTAAGTTATTGTTTCCCTGACTTCAAATCATAGTTAACTTATTCGACGGAAAGAGTAACGTTAACAACATTATTATTAAATTTATTTTGATAGAAAAATCTAATAAACTTTATTTTATTTTTTTATAATCATTGGATGTTAAAATATTTTAAGTTTTCTAAAATGTTTTATAAATACTTTAAATAATTTTATACTTACAATTTAAGAGATAATATTAAATTATATTATTTGTTTATTTAATTAATATATGATTTAAAAAAATATAAACTTTATTTTAAAATGATTTAATTATTGTTAATATAATTAATCATTAATTTGAAGAAATTTAAATAAATCTGCAATAAGATATAAACTTCCACATAATACAACAAGTCCACCCTCTTCATTATATTTTGAATAAGCATGAATAAGTGCTTCCTTGATATCCTTAGCAACAAAAGTATTAATATTTTTTTTTACATTCTTTGTATATTCTATAATTTCATTAGGATCATAACAATTTATCCAAGGCATTCCTTCAACTTTTGAAAAACCAACAGCTATTAATGAATCTTCATCTTTTAATAATAACTCAAAGATTTTTATAATATTTTTTCCTTTTGTAGCGGCAAATATCCAATGAACTTTATTTTTATTTTGTCTGTTTACAAAAGTTCTTAAAGCTTTTGCAGCTTGTGGATTGTGAGCGCCATCAATTAAAAGATTAGATGCTATAGGCATTTTTATAACATTTGATAATTTAAAAGCATCTATCCATTGTAACCTTCCGGGCCATTTAGTTGATGAAATTCCATCGATAATATGTTCATTAGTTATATTTGCAAATTTTTTTTCAGTCGTTCTCAACAAATCTATAGCTATAATAGCAGTAGCGGAATTTTCTAATTGAATATTTCCAGAAAGCGGAATATTGATTCTGATGATCGAATGATCCAACAATTTAATCAAAGCCAAACCTGTTTCTTCTTGTTCCCATTTCGCACTTTCTACAAGTATGGTTTTTGCACACCCAATTTCATCAGCATATTTCTTTAATGTATCCGCAGCTTCCTTTTCAATTTGAGGAGCAATAACAACATTTCCATTTGCTTTCATGATTCCAGCCTTCTCTTTTGCAATAGATTCAATATTATCACCCAAGAACATTTCATGATCCATTCCTATCAAAGTAATAATACTTAATAAAACGTTATCAAAAACATTGGTTGCATCTAATCTTCCTCCCATTCCAACTTCAATTATAGCAATATCAATTTGTCGTTTATCAAACCAATATAAAGCTATAGCTGTTAATATTTCGAATGAACTTGCTCCTACATTATTCTTTAAATTTATATCTGTGATAAATTCATTCTCTTTTTTGAAATCTTCCTGTGAAATTGGAAAACCATTTATTTTAATTGAATCATGAGGTTCAAGGAAATGTGGTGAATTGAATCTTCCAGTCTTATGGCCAGATTGTATAAGAATTGAATCTAAATATGCTGACACTGAACCTTTACCATTTGTACCTGCTATATGAATTACTGAAAGTCGTTTATGTGGATTATTTAATAAAGCTAAAAGTGAATTTATTCTTTCTAAACCTAAGTTTATACCGGTTGACATTATTTAATTTTTTTTTTTTTTTTTTTCAAAAAAAGGGACGATAAATGTTCTGTATTACGTTGTTCTGATTGGTGAATTTGAATCATTAATAAGAATTCAATAGATAATTGGATAATATTTTTAGACATTAAATTTGATAATAAAAAAAAAGGTTTCGAAATTCCATTATTTTCTTATTACATATAACGACCTTTGTAATAACATAATAATGTATTTGGAAAAGTGAATAATTTCAAACGTTATAAAAAAAACTTTTTTATTGTTTAAGGAAAAAACTCGTGATGTTGATTCTGCCAATTATCAAAACAAAAAATTTTTCTCTGATAAAAATTGTGATTGTTCTCGATGTAAAAATATTTATATTAAATTAGACAGATGTATGTTTCGAATTTCTGAAGGAATCTAAGATTTATTTAACGATAATTGGATAATTTATGTGGCAAAAGTCTGAAATGATTCCTTTATCGCGATCGAACTTTATAACATTTAGATTCAAGAATTTGCATAAGGATAAAGTTTATAGAACTTTTTTTTTTTGTTCGGTATTGGTTAATTTATTGCTTCATCCAATAAAACCTCGCATGTACTTTGATTGTTTTTGAAATTTCGTAAACAAAAAACAAATTCAACATTTTATTTTTTTGAAACCGAAAATTAAATTAGATGAGTGATCACAAACTGTCCATTGTCCGGGAATTCTTTCTTTCACGAAGAAGCGATTATATTTTTTTTTTGTATTTTTTGACGTGATATACAAATTCCATAGGAAAATCAGTAGTGAGAAAAGAATATTAAATGAATTAATCGTTTCGTTATATCAATATTTCTGTTTTCTTCCATAAGATTTAGTTTTCCTGATATAACAAAGAACGTGAAGTAGCAAGTAACGGTTAATTAATTTATTGTATAAATTGACAAAGAAATACACAAATTTTTTTTTTTTTCAAATTTGTGTGAGCAAATAATTCTGATCTGAAACAAATTTAAATATAACTTTTTTTATGACACGCTGTATCACAAAAAATTTTTGAGATCGCAGAGTTCTGTTCCCTTAATTAGTACATCTGAAATAAACCTTACAAATAAAAAAAACCGAAATTTAAGACGACATCAACTAATTATGGAAATGTAAACCTTTCGGGGAAATCATTGGTGAGAAACCGCTAATACGCCCAGAAATTGTTTAACATTCTAACTCTTTATATCTTTCAGAATTTCATCATCACTACTAAAAGAGATTTAACTTAACAAAATCCCAAATTTGGTGTAAAAAAAGATCGTTTGTGTAATGATCAACAATAAATATACAAAGAAAACAACGAAACTTAGACAACACGTATATTTGTCTTGATTGAATATTTAAACCCCAAAAAGCCCCACTAATGGAAGAATTCTTTAGCTGGAACTTTTTCTCCCAAAATTTGTGAATAGATGCATTCCTTTGTTATATATACCATACATATCATCATCATTTCCCCATTTCCTTCATTTTTCTTTTTTGCATATTAACATTTACATAAAAATATAGAATATAGAATTTTCATTTGTATAAATATATCAGGCATATACATACATTCATTACTCATCATATAGTCATTTCAAAATGAAAAAATTCACCTTAATAACATTCATTCCTTTCCTCTTGTTGCTGGCAACTCATCGAGGGGAACCTTTATACATCCCAAGACATAACCCCTCGTCAGCATCCATACATTCTAAATTACAAGAAAATGGTTGTGCTAATATACATAATAAATTCAAAAATGCTGGAACCAAAGAAGGTCTTCTCTTTCCCTTTTCGGATTTAAAAGCTTGTTATGAATCTTTCGCTTTTGATAATGAAAGAAGAATTGATGTAATTCATTTTTTTTTAACTTTTCCCCTCCTTTTGATTACAATGCCATTGGAACTTGACCTTTTTTTTTTCTTTTTATATTCTTACTTTAGACCATCGATACCATGAAGAAAATTTTCAACGGATTCTATGTGTTTACCGATCAAGCGAAGGAACAACCAAGTCAAGGGTATAACTATGAAGCGATGGACATCATAAGTGAATTTGATAAATTGAGTCAAAAGGAATATGCAACCGATTTTGAATTCACGGTACGTATTGAATTGCTATATAGACCGAGAATGCTCGAATTTTTCTCACGTAATTTTTCTCTATTTAGATGGATGCTACTAATTTGGTTACCAAATTAAAAGATCCGCATACCTTGTTTTTCCCAATATGTTACACGCGGTTTATTTTCACGCAAAAAATCTTGTTATATGCTAAATTAGAAGATGAAACGCATAAAATTAAAGTTTTCAAGGACAGCGCCGAAACAGAAAATGATGATTGTGAAGTTGAACAAATCGATGGTGTCGCGGCTATCGACGTCATCACGGAATTTGCAAGTGACAAGGTTTTTGTTTCGAAAGATCTTGGTGTCAGATTAAACATGGCATTACCAGCTCTTTCGTTACAACAAGGAACTTATCAACTTCACCCTAGATCCGCTCTATACAATCTGCGTACCACTTTACCCGAAAAAGAAACCACAACGTATCAATTAAAATGTGGGGAAAATACTAAAACTATAACGCGTAATTGGGAAGCTGCTATAAATAATCTTGATGACCTTGATAAATTCACCGATGCCAACTCTTATTGGGAAAGTCTTTGTGCAAATCCATCTTCATCTCAATCAAAGTCATCGAAAAAACCTAAGCAAAATACTAAATCAAAAAAATCCAAACAACAAAAACACAACCCTAAAAAGCCCAAGGTTAACCCTTTCCCTTTTAATGCTCTTTATAATGCCGATCCATTTGCAGTCAATTCGGAAGTTTTGAAAGAATTAAGTCCTTCAGTTGATGTTGGAAAACCTGTTTTTGAAACTATAAACGCTCAATTTTATATGTTGGAAAATGATGTTGGTGTTGCCGTACTTGCATCTAATGATATTGGACCTGAGATTTCTGATATCACCATCGCGAATTCATTCCGAGACTTGCAAACCGGTTTCAAAACATTAGCCGATAACGGTGCCAAAAAGGTAAACTTCTAACAAGCCTTCACACACACATATATATTTTTTTAAAAAAAAAATATTTGAAGTCTAATCTAAATTTTTTATCATTCTTTATTATTAGCTCGTCCTGGACATGTCAAATAACGAAGGGGGACTTATTGTCATTGCTCATTTCATTAATTTGCTTTTATTTCCTGATGCAAGTCCGTCATCACCATCCAATTTTAGACTTACCGATATCGTAAAGAAAGCCATTGAAAAAGCAGGCGATAACAATAATTCAATTTTTAACTTTAATGGATATTTAACCGTAGATGAACAAAACTTCAATAGCGCAAGTGAATTTCTTGAATCAAAATTCATTGAAAATGATATAGGTCCTATTAGACAATTTCTTTCCGACCAGGAACCACTTCCATGGAAATCGTCTGATATGATAATTTTAACAAACGGATTCTGTGGGTCTTCATGTTCTTCAACTTCTTTGCTTTTTTCCGAATTACACAAAGTTCAAACCGTTGCAGTGGGGGGATTTCCAAATACCCCATTATCTTTCAGTTCATTTGCCGGTGGTCAAGTTTACCTTCTTGACGATCCTTTGAAACGGGGATTTGATTTACAAAATGATATCAATTCATTAGGTTTAGTTGATGATCCTGAATTTGCCAAAGATCTTTCAACCAACGTTATGGTCACATTTTCCATAAGGAGAGCTTTTAGTGTCGTTAACAATGAAGAAGTTCTTGAGTACGCTTTTAAACCTTCCACGCATCATATTTTCTTTGATGAAAATAGTATTAGGGATCCAAGTAAATTGTGGTCTCAAGCTTCATCTCTGATAAACTCTTAAAACAAACAACACTTTTTTTACACTCATTACAATCAAACACACGATATGTATAATATAAAAACACGCATTTGTATCTATATTTTGCATTAATTCACACATTTTGCATTTTGCATTTTGCATTTTCATAGAATAATTTTTTCATTTTTTGCATTTCATTCCTCAATTTTGGAGAGATTGAGAAAAAGTTCCAGCACACTTTTCTTTCTTTTCTTTTCTTTGCATTCCTTTACACTTTCTAAATATCTTCAACATTCATTCATTATATAAATGTTTCTTTCATTCTGTATTTAAACTGCTTTCAAAAACAATATTCGTTCAGAAAATATTAATATAATGTCAACGAAAAAAGAAAAATTATTGTGTGTATATAACATAGAATTTTTTAGATAGTCAGTAAGAAAATAAAAAGAAATTATTATTAATAATAATAAAATCAATATTACCATCGCGTTACATTTTTTGATTTTTCAATCACAGATTTATTAAATGCAATTCTCTGCTTAATTCGTTAATTTTAAAACTTATTATCCGCATTGAGTAAAAAGGTGATTCATCTTTAAAGAAAAATTTGTATTTTGGTAGTAAAATCAAACACAGAAAAGGCACGTGTTTTTTCTTCAAAAAAACCCTTCCTTGGATGAAGCTTCGCCACATTGAAGTTTAATTCACAGAAAGTATAAAAGGTTTGTGACTAGGTTACTTTTAACGATAAAATTACTACGCCATTATCGGTCATGTAACGATTGCTTGACCAATTGCTGCAGAGTACATCATGGCTTTTTGTTGAATTTCCATGTTTAAATTTACACCGTAACACAGGATAAATCACAGAAAATTCGACCCTTTTTTTTAAAAATCTTTTCTTTCTTTTCCCCTCTCCTTGAAAGTTAAGCAAACAAACGAAAAAAACAAGTTACAATTTAATTTGAATGACTTCAAACGATAGAATTATTTTAAATGTCGGTGGTATAAAGGTATTTGTTTTTAAAAAAATTTCGTTTAATAGAAAGTTTTTATTCTAAAATTCCTTCAAAAATTTGTAGTATGAAACAAAAAAATCGACCATTGCTAAATATCCTAACACACGTCTTGGGGAAATATTTAATGGAAATCATAAATCATGTTTGACAAATAAGAATGAATATTTTATCGATCGTAATGGTTATGCGTTCCGTTACGTATTAGAATATTATCGTACAGGTCAAATTTTGTGGACGACTTCAAATGAACCGGGAGGATGTTGTAATGGGGTTAGTCGTAAAGAGATGATTTTGGAATTTGAATATTATCAAATTCCAAATAATCTAAAGCAAGAACAAGAACAAGATGATAAAGAATATGATTTAAATGTAGTCAGAGATTTAATTATTAAAGAAATGTCAAATGCAACCTTTTCTTCCGTGACTCCTTTGAATAATACGAGACCATCAACCATCGATACTACTCAGACTTATGTACCTAACAATGATGGTAATAATGAATTGATCAGATTGAATAGGTGGACGACATTCGAAGAACATGGTCAAATTGTGGATTCATTTATAATTGCTTTAAAACATGTGATTTATGAAATACATCGTAATTTTAGAAGACAAGTTAATTTCTTTTTTCATTATAGGCTACCTGTAAATGAAAATCAAAGTCATAATACTTGTTCTTCGATTTACGTTGATTTAGATCTTGATAGCATAAGAGAAATTATGAAACCATTTCGAATAAGCGGATATAGATTATTGGAATTGTATGGGAGCGATATTGAAAAAAAATTGAAAGGAGATTTTGAGGATACTATTACATTTGAAATCCGTAAAAATACTCCCTCTAGCCCTTTTTGTTTAACCATTACAATCCTTACTCCCTTCAATCATCAATACATTCTTTTTAAGTCTTGTCTTGTAAGGAAATAAGAAAACCTCGGAATTTCTTCATTAGTTTATTTATTTGATCTATTTTTATTTCTCTGACTCGGAATTTAATTTTTTTGGGGGTGTATTCCGTTGAATGAATTAATTGTTCTTAAAATTTATAAATTGGAATTGTTTCAACTTTTTTTTTTTTCTTTCTTCCTTAATGCCACCAAGACGTATTATAGTATTATTTTAATGGCTCGATCGATTGATGAACGTTTTGAACGGGAATTAGTAAAATAATTTCTTTAATTTGAAATGTAATTTATGGATCGACTAATTAACTAAGTTTAATAGTTGTTAATAATATAATTATTTTTTTTATTAAATATAATGATTTTATTGTTAAGTTATAAATCACAGCTATATAACATTGCAAAAATTAAATAATAAAATCATATTTAAAATCTAAAAATATTTATTTTTATTTAAATTATTTTAAAATTTAAATATAAATTATATTAATTTATAATTAGTTTTCTAGGTTATTAAGAAAATAATTTTAAAGTTAATTATTACTTTTAATAAAATAAATCAAGAATAAAATTTTTTTTTTTCTAAATATTTCTGCTTATTGTTAGATAATAGTATATTTTTATTTTATTTTTTCT